CTGTAAGTTAATTAAATTTAAAAGCATGTGATTCCAGGGACAGGAACCCAGGTAAAAGGTACTTCTTCTATTTCTGCAATATTTTTTAACATGTTTTGTTAAATTGTGGCTACTGTCACTCTGCATTTCTGTCAATGCTTTAAGATGTATAGGTACAGGTCTATAATTTGGGGAGCTGGATTGGTATACAATCCTTAGAGTTTCTGGTTTTCCACACAACTGCTATGTGCCTTTGCTCAGGAGTAACTATTCGAGGATGTTTTTATGGAGAACAGTTTTGGAAGTCAAAGACAATGATAAAGGCAGGCATGCTGACTGCTGACATACTGTCTCTCTCTGGGACGTAGATCAGGCAGTTCATTGCTTGTTGTAAAAGAGTTCTGTTCAGATTCTAGACTCTGGGTCCCCTCCTTCCCTATAATTCAACGATCTGTGTGAAGTTATGAACTGCTTTTTGTTGTGTGGCTTGGTGGCAGATGGAACATGGGCAATTAGCATAAGAAATGTGGATCATCTCACTGTATTATTGCTGATTGTTGTCATGTGTCTTATCCATTAAACTGTGGTACACTAACTTCTCTTGCAAGTGGGGTAAAAAATTTAAGGCCCTTTGTTGTTTTTCATGTTATTCATAGAGACTCACGTTCCTTAATTGCTTTAGTACCATTAGTAACATTAAACAGCAGAAATATTTTCTTTTTCTTTTATTTTTTTTGACAGGGTCTCCCTAGCTCCAGCCTGCCTAGAACTCACTATGTAGACCAGGCTGGCCTCTCTCTCAAAGAGATCCATGTGCCTCTGCCTCCTTCCAGAGTGTTGGGATTAAAGGCATGAGCCACCATTCCTGGCACAGAAATATTTTCTTTGCATTGATACAGCAGTAAATTGATACTGTAGATTAGCTGATGCATGACCTTTTCTGAGGAGATGTGAATAAATGTCTATTTACTTCAGACAGGTCACCAACAACAGACCGAATTAAGCATTCCGTCAAAGTCCATTGGCTTATTTACAGAGCATCTGTGAGAGGTTACTTACAGGAGTGTGGGCGACCCCCAAACAGCTGCATCACCGCAAAGCCTCACCGCATCAGGGATGACTTCATCATGGAATCTGCACCTTCCACGGGGTCCTGCTTTCAGTAACTTTCCGCCTCCTGCATACTCTAGCGCTATCTCACAAGATTATTCACACCAGGGAGGAGGCAGGAAGGAGTAACGAATGGAATCCCACATGAGGACCCTGTGACCTTCTCCTTGTCTATCCACTCGGGAGCATCAATAACTCCATTGCGATCTGGCTGTCACTGTATTGTTCTGCTTTCGTTGTTACGGCTTCCTGGACACAGTGGTCTCTAGTGTAAAATGGCTCCAAGGTACAGCACCAGGGATTGGCAAAGTGGCATTCGTGAGCCAAATGTGGCCTGCAACCTGGTTCGTAAGCAAAGGTCTTGAATAGTGGAAGGCACGTCATGCACATGTTATCTATTGCTACTTAAATGCTCCAATGGCAGAGTCAACAGGCTTCACCAGAGACACTATGGTCTTCAAAGGATGAAATACTCACTATCTGGCTCTTTAGAGAAAATTCTTACTGCTTTTGCTGTAGACCAAAGAAAGCAATCAAAAATACAACTCACCGTATTTGCAGTAGAGATAAAGGCAAAATAGTTATCATATCACTTGATAAAAAGGAATTTAGGGACTGGGGAAATAGGGTGGTTTGTGAAGTACCTGCCAGGAGAACATGAGTTTGATCCCCAGAACACACATAAAAAAGCTGAATATGGTGGCATCTGCTTGTAATCCTGGCACTAGGGAAGCAGAGGTAGGTGGATCCCTGAAGGTAGCTGTTAGCCAACCTAATCAATCAGACCCAGGTCCCAGTATAGCACCATCTCTCAAAAAACAAGGTGGACAGCTCCTAAGAAATGACATCTAAGGTTGATCTCTAGTCTCTATACACGTGAGCACACATGTATAATTTACCATGTGTACCTGCATAATGCCTGTACACAGATAAATATACACACGTACCTATGGGAGATTACGATAAGCCCACTGACTTTATGTACTACACTTCTGCGATGTCTCCAATGCTTAGGAAGTCACAGCTGCACATGGAAATCTCCCAAGACTCAGCAATACTCTCCTTCTTCATACCTTCCATTGTAGTAAACACATATGCTGCCTTAATAACTTTTCTGTGGCTGTGATAAAATATCATAACTTATAGAAGGAAGAGTTTATTTGGCTTACAGTTCAGAGGGATTAGAATCCATAATGGCAGAAGAGCCAGGGCAGCACAGATGGCCAGAGCAGAAAGCAGAGTGATCGCATCTTCATGCAGGCACAGGAAGCAGTGAGAAACTGGAAACCCGGCAAGAACTGTCTAAGCGCACCTCCAGTGATGCTCTTCCTCCAGCATGGCCACACCTCCTAAAGCCTCCCAAAACAGTGCCACCTTGGAGCCTATGGAGGATATTCTCATTCAAACCACCGTACGTGGATTCTCCTACAAGACTATAAATGTTTTAGGATGGAATCCATATCCATAAGCAGTTTAACAAATTGTAATTTCCATGATCTAACTTTCAGGATGTAAGAATCACCTTCATGGAACCTAGAAATACTTACATAAAAATAAAAATCTTTTTTTTCTTACTGTAAGTCTACGAAGCAAAAGTTGCCCCTACAATTAAAAATTAAATATGCTCTAATCTAATGCATTGCCTTTGTATATTTCTTTTTTTTAACTGTATTTCTTTTTATAGCTTTTTTGATTTATTATTATTTTATGGGTGTTTTGATGCATGTATGTAAGTGCACCGTGTGTGCACAATGCCCATGAAGGCCAGAAGAAGGTGTCAGCCACCATGTGCATGCTGGGAATCAAACCTCCAGGTCCTTTGCAAGAGCAGCCAGTGCTCTTAATCTTTGAGTTATCTCTCCAGCTCTCCAACTCTATTTCTTAAAAGTCCCACATGCGGTTTTGACTCCATTAGGGAGGAGATGAACCTAGAATAGACTCGTTCCTCTTGGCAGGGGAAGGCGTGTACAGGAATTAAGAAAGGTGATGATGGTGAAGATGCAGAAAACCTGGATATAACCAACTCTCAGAAGTAGAAGATGAATTAATAAGCCACAAAGCAATGACTATAGCCATCATTGCAAAATTCAGGTAGGCAAGAGCAGAGTGCAGTGGGCTAGACAAACTGCAAGAAGAGTCACCGTACGTAGAGGGCATTCTGAGCTGAGCTGTTAGATGGGAGACTTCAAGAAGACCTGGAAGAATATCCCTTAAGACAACCGGGGTGGGAAATGCTGTGATCTGAGCCTGGAATGGCTCTCACAGGCTCACGTGTGAATACTTGGTCCCAGCTAGTGGTGGTGTCTTTGGAGGTTGTGGAACTGTTTGGACATGGAGCCTAGTTGGCTTATGTGTGCTACTGGGAGCAGGCCATTGAGGGTTAAGATCCACCTCCAATTATGGTCTAGCCTGTCTTCTTCCAGTAATATGAGAAGCTGAGATGTGCTCTTCCATTGCCAGGAAGTCCACCATGCCTTCCCTCCACAACGGAATAAAACTAAACTGCTCAGCCAAAGCAAACCCTGACTCCCTAAGGTGCTGTTGTCAGGGATTTGTCCCGAGTGACAAGGAAACCAATACAGACAAGAGCCAGGCATTTTGCTAAATGACTCAAAATGTGGTATCACAGAAGCTGTGGATTTGGCTCAGTTGGTAGAACTTTTGCTTAACATGGACAGGCTGGGTTCAGTCCCCAGCACAGCATATACAGCATGCAGGTGTAGTGGTGCGTGCTTATAACCCAAGCACCCTGGAGGTAACGTTCAAGTCCAGCGTCCAGCGTCCAACAGTCCCAACCTAAAAAATAAAAAAAAAAAGCATTATCACATTGAATTACCGCAGAAATCTTACAACATGGAGCTGGCTGCTCCCATTTTACAGAAGAGTACAACTTGGATGTAACAGTTTAAGTAATGCTGAAGTGCTTGCAGAAATGCTAAGTGATAGCAAGTAGAGACTATTGATCAAGTTCTGATACTCTAACCCCAGCACTGCCTTCAATTTTATTACTCTGGATGCAACTGCATCCCCTGAGCTATCATCTCTTCATGGCGAAGAGGGCTAACCACCTAGAACTACAGTGAAAAAAGCCTCATTAAGATGGGGGTTGTAGTGTAGCAGTTAATCTTTATATTTTGCATCTGAAGTCAAGTTAGTGTCCCCTGAGACTCCTTCTTCCATTTCCACTTCAGCCATCAGGGAGTGGCTCTTCACGCGCTGCATCACCCTTTTGCTGATAATGTCACTGCATAGTCCCGATTCAGACCTGCTTCCTCTCAAGCATCTCTGACTATGGTGTTCACACTCTCAGTAAGTGTGTGAGCCTATTCCTTTTCTGGGCCACCTCATTAACATATCTAACACTTTAGAATGGGAAATGCAAAAGCTTGATCTGAATCTTTAAGACGTGCTAATAATAATTTTTCAGGCAAATCTCATTATTTCTCTGTACTTTCAGAATAGTACCACTCTAAAGTAATTATGATATATACCAGCTGCTGGTCCAGCACTCGAGGGTCTCAGACAAAGGCTGGAACCTGTTCAGAGAAACCAGCGGCTTGAAGGAGGACAAAAGACGTGGGGGAAGGGAGTCGATGGTAACCGGCACAGATCTTGGTTTTATCTTTCCACTCTGAGTCATTTACCTTCACCCCGACCTTAAAAAAAATTAAAAGAAAAGTAAAACTTTTATAGCCAAAGGGATTGAACGTGAAAAACTTTGCACGAACATTAACGCAAGATGAAGGCGTTCAAGAATAGAGGAGAGTTACACATTCCACAGAGGTCAAGTGCAGAATTTAAGTCTTTCCTTAAGTTTCGTGTTTTCACAGACTGAGTTCTAAGAAAAATCAGGTGCCTGAAGTGACCTCAATAGGATACTGTGTGTTTCAGTTACTTTTCTGTTGCTGTGATAAAACACCCCGAGTAAGACAACTTATAGAAAGAAGAGTTTATTGGGCTTAAAGTTACAGAGGGAAAAGAGTCCATTATGGCAGAGAGATACGGCAGGAGGCAGCTGGAGCTGACAGCTGAGAGTTCTCATCTTCAAGTAGGGACAAGAAGGAGAGGGTCAGACTGGAGGTGGGCAAGCTGTATATGCACAAAACTCTCCTCCAGTGACATGCTTCCTCCAGAATGCCCACGCCCCCTTAAGGTTCCATCACCATCTCCAAACAGCACCACACACTGGGGACCAAGTTTCCAAATATTTGGGAACCTACGTGGGACATTTTCATTCAAACAACCAAACTGTGCAAGGACCCAAATTTGAGTTTTCATTCTTACAGCCAAATGTCAGCAATCTCATGAAGAACAGTTACAAAAACTGAAGGAATGAATGTGTATATATTTCCTTTTAAAATTTTGTGTGTGAGGGACTGGAGAGATGACTCAGTGGTTAAAAGCACTGACTCCTCTTGCAGAGAACCTGGGTTCAATTCTGAGTACCCACATGGCGGTTATCAACCAGTCCGTAACCCCAGTTCCAGGGGATCTGACAAATGCCCTCTTCTGATCTCCATGGGCATTGTGCGGTACAGGCACATTTACACACATGCAAGCAATACAGTCATATGCATAAAATAAGAAGAATAAAAATAAATAAATAAGATAAAACTGTGTGCAGATGCATATGTGTATGAAGTAGAGGACACCCTCTCATGCTTTAAGTGATGTCCACCTTCTTTTTCAAACAGGGTCTCTTTATCTCTCTCACTGGTGTGGAACTAGCCAATTAGACAAAGCTGGCTGACCAGTAAGCCCTATGGACCAGCCTGCCTCTACCTCCACAGTACTAGGATGACCAGTGTGTGCCCCATGCATGGCTTTTTTTTTTTTTAATAAGTATGGGATCAGACTTAATGCTTTCAAGGCAATCACTTTACAGCTGAGCCATCTATACAATCCATGCGTTTTTATAAGGAGTTTTCAGTTGACTCTTACCTGCTTCAAATTCTAACACAGTAAGACTATTTTAAGAGACTAGCAAAGGAAGTATGCATGTTTTACAAGGCTTCTGTGTTTTAAGCTTAGATAAACAGTGTAGTGTCAATGTGGAAGTAGTGACTGTGTTTATATCTGATAACTCTGTTGAACTGCTAAATTACTTAAAGTACACAACTGTGCCTTACCATGCTTTGCTTAGCAGTTACTAATATATCATAGGAGACCATTAAATCCTTATTGAGTTCGTTCCATGGATTCATGTGATAAATAGTTAGAAACTCATGGACAACTAAAAAATACTAATTCTTACACACACCTGTTGTTCTATTTGAAGGTCTTATAGTATGTCTGCATGAGGACAACCCAGGCTGAATGGCAGCTCTGAGCACGGCATTTTCACTGGCTGATACTAAGCTCCCTTTGAAAAATAACTTTATAGCTGTAGGTTTTATAAAACAGCTGGCATATTCATTTCATTAATCAAAGTATCAATATCAAACCAAATACCATCTTTATCATAAAAATGGTCCTCGTGAGCTCTATATTTCTGGATGCTCCTCCCCAGTTTCTCTGATCTGAAATCTCTTCAATATTCATTTCTGTTCCATTCTGAACTCTATCACTTTCGCCTTCATTGAGCTTCTGGAACTCATCATCTCCTTTTCATTCTCTCTACCACTATTCTGATTAGATTCTCCTTACTTCTGTTTTGAGCTATTGAAATCAGTTCCAACTTATCTGAATCTAGATTCTGCTTTTCAAATTCAGCCCAGTTCTGTCATATGCATCTTCTCAATATGTACCTTCTTCAAAACAGCTTCATGTATTTAAAGGGAAGGCTTTTTAAAAATTTGCCTTTTCACGGATCCAGAAACAAACCCAACAACCAACTCTTCTCAGATACACATTTCATCACTTCAAGATGAGAAGTTTGAAGCTGTTGTGTGTTAAGAAGTGGAATTTCTTTTTAAAGAAAGAAGGTGATACATAAGACAGGATTTCTGGACATTTGTAGGATTTGGACTTTTTTTTTTTGAGACTCATGACATTCAGGGAAGCTCTTCACATAATAATTGGATACAGAATCTCTGTGGAGTCACTGTTGGGGCAATGGGATCACTCTACCTCTTCTCGCCCTTGCCTGCTTTTCTTATCAGCCTGTGTGCCTACATTTTGAGATCTAAGTCACATATGACAGGTGACCTTTTGAGACCTAGTTCAAATATGACATTTTTCATTATCTTCTCTATTTTCACTAATTTGACACGAATGACTCATTTTCTAAACTTTGTGCTGTTTTCTCTGTGCATATGACCTTCTGCCTCATTTGTTAATACTTTTAATGTTCCAAGCTAATTCGTCCTTACATGTTGCAAAAGCTTTTCAATAAGGCCAGCGTCTTGCTTCTGTTTCACTCAGGCTGTTCCTCCCAGTCGTACCACATTGGCGTAGACCCTAGACGCTGAGTATCAAAACATTCCATGAACGGCTCTTAAATCACACAAAAATCAAGAGCCAGAGAAGCAGATTTAAGATCTCTAACCTAACATGTCATTTAGGCTTTTTGTCTGTACTAGAAAATGATAACATAATTTCATAATTGTTACCTGCAACTTATAAAATATCCTGATAATAAGTAACTGGAAATACAAG